GAAGCAACAGAGGGGAGAAGGGGGACTGAGGAACACCTCTCTAAGAAGGGGGTGCGATGGTCGCCGCGAGAAGCACCTACAGCTAAGATACTCTTCTCAGCTGCAACAAGGCGCTCCTCTAGCAGGTCGACAATCAGCTCGGTGGGGCAAAGGGAGAGAAAGTGGTCCCTGACTGAAGAGAGAGAGTCAGGGAGGCGGGTGACTAGGTAGTAAAGGGTGATGTACATGGGGGGGGGTTCTTGGCACAGAACTCAGTGGGAAGGGCAGCGCGGTAGCGGGCGTCACTAGTGCGAAGGTGAGCAACTAGGTCAGCGACTGTGGCAAAGGTGGCAAGGTCAGGGAAAAGGTACGGCAGCATGAGGCGACTGAGGGCAGCAGTGGCAGGGGAGGAGTAGCGTGCAACTACAGCGTCGTACAAAGACTGAGCAGTCTTGTACTGGCCAAAGTGTGCACACTTAGCAGGCGGCAGGTGACTACGAACAGCGAGACGAGCAACAGCGTCACGAGTGGTCCACTGCGAGAGAACAGTACTGTCAGCAGTGGCAGTAGGAGCAATGGAAACACCGGACGTGTGATCGAAAAGGGATACCCCATCCCTAGAATCACACTGAAGAAAGAGCTGTAGGTCATCAACCCATACGTCAAAGTCAACTGCACGTCCCTCAGAGTCAAAGGTGAGAACTGTAGGACTAGCCATAGCAGCAGTAGCAAGAGGAGCAGCAGTAGCAGCAGTAGCAGCAGTGCAGCAGTAGCAGCAGCGGCGCGGCTCGGCTAGGCAGCGCGGCTTGGCTGGGCGGCGCGGCTCGGCTTACCAGAGACAGGTGTAGGGGCGGGCCGTGACTGCAGGGGCCGCGCCAGCAGGGGTCAGCAGGGGCTCGTCAGCAGGGTCCGGCAGGGGCGCGTCAGCAGGGGCCGGCAGGGGCGCGCCAGTAGGGGCGCGTTAGCAGGGGCCGGCAGAGGCGCGCCAGGAGGGGCCGCGCCAGCAGGGGCCGGCAGGGTCTCGTCAGCAGGAGCCGGCCGGGGGCGCGCCAGCTGGGGCGCGTCAGTTGGGGCCGGAAGGGGGGGGGGGGCGCGAGGAGCCGCTGAGGGGGCCGTAAAAGGGGCCGAGAAGGGGCCGCGACGGGTCGTCAGAGGGGCCGCGAAGGGCCGTTAAAGGGGCCGCGAAGGGCCGTGACGGGGCCGCGACGGGCCGTCAGAGGGGCCGCGAAGGGCCGCGAGGGGCCACGACGGGTCGCTAGAGGGGCCGCGAAGGGCCTTGACGGGGCCACGAAGGGCCTTCAGAGGGGCCGCGAAGGGCCGTCAGAGGGGCCGCGAAGGGCCGCGACGGGTCGCTAAAGGGGGGCCGCGAAGGGCCTTAAGAGGGGCCGCGAAGGGCCTTAAGAGGGGCCGTGAAGGGCCGTAAGAGGGGCCGTGAGGGGCCTTAAGAGGGGCCGCGAAGGGCCTTAAGAGGGGCCGCGACGGGCCGTAAGAGGGGCCGCTAAGGGCCGCGAAGGGGCAGCGACGGGCCACTAAGGGCCTCGAAGGGCAGGCGTGAGGGCGCAGCTAGGTCAAACGCGACACGCGCCTTGGGTAGGTAAGGAAAAAAAAATATTTCGAGTGGTGGGCCGTAAAAAAAAACTCGAACCAGCTCTATACCATGTGAGAATCGACAATGGAATGGATGAACTAGAAATGAGATGGGTACAAGTAGGAAACACAAAAGTGTTGTACCCTCTAAGGACTACCCCACTACAGCCTAAACAGACTATAGCAAGTATAAGTTTGACAGGATGTCCACGTGATGATACCCTGACTTGAGATCAACCGATAGCATCCAATCGTTCGGTTGGATCAACTCCGCTACCCGGGCGAGGCCTTCGTACTTGAATTTAGGAATGCACAAGTGCTCGTTGACCTTCCGCAGGTCGAGGATGAGCCAACATTTTTCTCGTTGTTCGACCACGTTGAGTGGACTAATGCATAGTAGTGTTGATCGGTCAGAAGCTTTTGCCGCTGCTCCTGTTCGCAGGAGGTCCTGAATGGCATCGCGTGTGAAATCCGAATGCGTCTGGGCGCCTGCGTGGTTTTTCCTTTCAAAAGGTGTCGGGGGCCCATCCTTCCATGGGAACCAATATCCGTGTGAGATAATAGACAGGATGAGGCTACTATCGCACCAGGAGCGCCACCAGTGTAGTGCTTGGTTGAGCCGTCCTCGCATTATAAACAGTGTCTTGTCGGTTATCGCGTATTCGTATGTTGAGAGCGTCATCCCGATCTAACGGTTGTCAATTTCTGCATGGGGTTTTCATGCACAATCGGCTATCCCACAACATTAGCGCGTGCATGAGCAGTTGAGTAACAGCGGACCGCGCTCTTGGGCGTCGTGCCTTTGCACGAGTGCAACCACGTGTGTAGATGTGCGTGTGCCTTGTGTTATGTGTGTTGGTGTGTGTGTGCCTGTGTGTGTGTATGTGTGTGTATGTGCGTGTGGGAGTATGTCCGTGTTGGTGTGTGTGTGCCTGTGTATGTGTGTCTCTCTCTCTCTCTCTCTCTCTCTCTCTCTCTCTCTCTCTCTCTCTCTCTCTCTCTCTCTCTCTAATGGTCCGTGCATTGATGTAAGGGGAGGTACAGACATGCAAGGCATAGGTGCTAGGAATGCAAACGTACAAGCAGAGAAACTGTCTAGTAGCCCACAGCTCCCTATCTACACTTCCATGAGAGGCTCTAGTACTGCACAGCAGTCCCCAAGGTGGAGCTCGGACTGCACCCCCCCCACGGGGGGATTTTCAGCTACTGCCGCCTGACTCGACTCAATAAGGTAACCCACTGACTGTGCTCTTTGCAGTGCCACGGACCACAGCTGCCTGAAGAGATGGAGGAACCTAGCTGCATGAAATGAGTGTGGTTGGGCGTTGAAGTGACGCCTAGTAGCTGTGTCCGCCAGTAGCTTCAAGAATTCTGGGACCTCTGCACATGGGCACCCATAGGTATCCACAGCCATTGGGAAAAAGGCCACCGTGTCCGGCCGGTTGGCATAGTGTCTCTTCTTTTTGTCTGCCATCTCCCTTGCCGCCCATCCTCTTCCCTTGGCTGCATTCGGGTCTCTGGTGCTGATGGGGTCAGTGATGGTGACGTCACAAATGTACACCGCCCCTGAGCTCCTGTCTCGCATAGTGATATCCGCGGTCTGGTCCTCGATTGGGCAGTAGGCGGCCGATTCCCCATGGACGATGAAACCCGCATCTTGTGCCATGGTGATGCAAGCGTCCCGGAGCTCGTTATGGGTGTTAATCCTGTGCTTGCCCGTGCCGCAGCGGAAAGATGGTTCGGCAGCCGTGGGTCGGTAATCTCTGTGTGGTCCGAGCAGTCACACTTGGCGGGCGTGGAGAAAGGTAGGCCAAGGCAAAACCGGATGGCATTGGCGAAGTGCTCTGGCGCGACGCGGCGGGTGTTTTCAATCGGTAAAGCCGTCAGCTAGTCTCCCGCGCCATAGCCGGTAAGGGAGAACATGCGCTGAGTGTGCCCTGATAGCGGGTTGAGACTCATCCGCCGGGTCTCCTGTACTTGCCTCGCATATCTCCTCCCGTGGACCTTTACTGCGAGGGCGTGTTGTAGCTTCACGCCCTTAGGTTCTAATCTCTCCGCCTCTAGGATCTCACGGGCGTCTGCCGGCAGAGCCTTCTCACAGGCCGACAGCCACGCGTGAAGGGGTGTGCTAGTGTCTCGTGGTAGTAGCATGAAATTCTTGGCGTGTGTCTGGATGTCGTCCTGTTCTAAGGGGAGCGAGCAGAGGAGTAGAGCTGCCTGTATGAAGCTTGCTAGAAAACCGTATAATCCTTCGATTGTGGGGTCAGTGAGGCCGATCCCACCTAGGGAGGGGGGTAGTGTGGACTGTTCCCAGACCCGGTTTTGCTCAGTAGTACTTGTTGGATAGCGGATACCGCATGAGGCTAAAAGGGTGGCAAGTAGGTCCCGTCCCCACTGCGACCATTTGCCGTCGGAGATAAAATTGAGCGGTGTGGTCCGCGTAAGGTAGGCGATGCGGCGAGATATGCAGCGCGTGAGGAGCAGCGAGGAGGTCTGTGGGTCCATCCGTTCTAGCAGTGGGAGTGGTTTCGCCATTGCCGTGAGTTGTTCCGTGATGAAAGAGGCAGCACCTTCCGTCGTTCCTATGAAGCTGCCTAAGAGCCGGACGCCATCACCGGAGAAAGGGACTCCTAGTGGTGGTTGCACCGAGCTGGCTAGGCGGGTTCTACTCCATGCGGCACACTTTCCAGGATTGTGTCGAAGGCCTACTAGCTCTAGCTGTCCGGTAAAATGGGCGAAAGCTTCGGTTGTCTCGGCGGCGGCACCTAGGAACGTGACATCGTCGGCATAGGCTAGGCAGAGTACGCGGGGGTAGGCGGTGGCAATCGCACGTAGGGCTGGGTGTATTCCTGCCGCGAAAAGCAGAGGGCCTAAGGGGTCTCCCTGGCGGACGCCTCGTTCGCTTGCTAAGGGTGCGTTGTTAAAGCCGGCATCGAGGTAGAGTAGCGACGGGTTGCCGTATATGAGTTGGACCAGCGGCAGTAATGGTTGTAAAGCATCGTCTTGTAAAGCTGCCTCTATTGCCTGTCGCGAGATACTGTTCAAAGCGTTTGATAGGTCGGTTTGAAGTATCAGTGTGTCTGGTCGGGCGTCGGTGAAATCCCGGACGGTGTGGATGATCGCCTCTGCTCCACTTGGAACCGCCACCCCGAATTGCAGCGGGAGGAAAAACTCCCGTGCTGCTTCTCCTATTACTGACAAAGCGGCCTTTGCTGCCAGGCGGGTCAAACATTCGCCTATTGCAATTGGCCGGGCCCCGCCTTCTGGCTTGGCCAACGCGATTAGGCGGGATGATGTGAGCAGGCCGGCTACAGGCTGGGGCAGTTGACCCCCCAGCATGGTGTTAACCAAGGGCTGCATCCCGTGGCAGTCGCGGTGGCTGGTGGGGGGGGCGCGGTCGTGGTGGTGGCTGGGCGTATGATCAGCCAGTGACGATGGCTGATTTACAGCGTGTCGTCTCAGATGCGATGCGACTGGAGCGGAACGGGCAGGCGAGCCAGAGCAACTCGCCGCGCGTCGCTCCAGCGCATGCGTCCTGTCCTCCGTCTGCGCCCTATGAGCCTGCACCTCCCCTTCCACAGTCACTCGTTCCCCCTCCCCTAGCTCCCTCTGCATCTGCCGCTGCTCATGGGAACCGGATGCACCTGCCGTGGGTTCCTCCTGTGGCGGGTATGGAGTTTGTGACCGCGGCTGGAGGACCGGTGACGGCGCAGTATCCCTCTCTACTGCCTGTTGCTCCTGCTCCTCTGGCTGTATCGGTGCCAGTACAGTCACTGGTGGGGCCCCTTCCGTCTGCTGTAGTGCCGGAGGCGTCGCTGGGGCAGCTATGGCGCCTCTCTGAGGGTCTGCGGGCAGTGCACCTGATTCAGGTGTATGGTCACGCGGCTCTCTCCCAGGGTGCTCATCTGGACCCTGGCCCCCGGGACGAGTGCCTGGATGCCGCGGATCGACTAGCCGAGCTCCTGGCGCCCGTGTTGGCCGCGCCCGCGTGGGGTGGAGTTGCGGGCATTGGACAGCTGGGGACGGCGGTCCGTGGTTTGCGCCGGTTGTTGCGCGCGGGCTCTGCCGTCGACTTGATCGGCGCAACGACAGTGGTGGTGCGCGAGCTTCATCGTTCTCTGACGGGTCTTCTCGCTGTCCTTGACGCGGATCAGATGTAGGATCCCCACTAGCTTGTCCCATGTTGTCGCTAGTAGATGTGGCCCCGTGCCATGAGTATATGCCTTTGCGTTAGTGTTTGCATCCGTCTGCAATGTGTTTGACGTCCCCTCACGCGCGGCCAAAGGCCGCACTGTCGAGCGTCGGCCGCCGAAGGCGGCCGGCGCGAGCCGCTTGGTTAGGGGAGCAAATGAACACAGAACTGAATAATGAGGCTAAGGACCAGGTCTTAGGGCCTTCATACTAGGCTGGAGAGGGCTGGAGAGGCTAAGGACTAGGGCCTCTCTCTCTCTCTCCCTCTCTCTCTCTCTCTCTCTCTCTCTCTCTCTCTCTCTCTCGCTCTCTCTCCCGCTCGGTTAGGAGAGCAAATGAACACAGAACTGAATAATGAGGCTAAGGACCAGGTCTTAGGGCCTTAATACTAGGCTGGAGAGTCTAAGTGTGAGAGTACGCCGACGTTCGACATATTTCTCATTTCCATATTTTTTCTCCATCTTATTCTCCTTATTTTCCTCTTTCATTTGCACTTTATTTCACCTCAATCGGACTACTATTCTATTTTCTAGAGCTTTCCGATTATTTCACTTATTTGGTATTTTCGGCACCGACATTTACATTATACGGCACCGACAGCACCGACAGTGGTGTACAAGGCGTAATCTCGCCATAATCCGAAGTGCCAATGGGCTTGCGTGCTTATGCGCACTTGTGATTATCTATTCTAGAAGAGCGCGTTCCCGAAGGTTCGGATTATCTGTTGTTTCTATGTATTTCTAAGTATAAATACGCCTTGTACTCACCTTTAGTGGAACATTCTCGAGTGGAAATTCGATCCTGTGACACTTGGTAGCAGAGCCATTTTCACTCGCAGAGTTTCAGCTAAGCAGCGCGCTCAAGAAATTCCTGCTTCGAAAAACCGCCGGGGGCGACGAATTCGGCGCCGACGCTGGTAAGCACCAGATTCCTCGTTTTTTTAATAACCCCCCTCGCGCGTTTTTTGAACAGGATCGTGAGTTCGATTGTTGGCGAAAAAGTTTGCGATACAAGGACGACAATTGCGAATTGTCGGGACCTATATCGAGCGGTGCAGAAGTAGCGAGACCGACGCGCGACGGCTCGAACGACTTCGGGTGAAAGCGCGCGTCATGGCGAAAATTGCGACAGAAGCAGAATCGATCGTGACTTCGCAGCAGTCGCGAAATTTTCCCAAGGCCCAAGAAATTCGAGCACACCTTTGATGGGGAAATCGACGCTAGGCGCTGGATTTTGGCGATCAAAATTTATTTCGCCGCTATTGGATGGACAGCACCAGCACTCGACAGAAACAGAATTAATTTTGCAGCAACACTACTGCGCGGACCAGCAATTGAATGGATAAGCAGAAGCGGTTTATTAAACTAAGGTGAAGCGACGTGGCAGCAGTTCCGAGAACGATTACTACAACGTTTTGAGCCGATTAATGCAGCGTTTATCGCCCGCGACAAAATGCATCGTCATCGACAAATTGGGAGCGTCACAAACTATACACAACAAATGGAGGAGTTGTTCAACCGCATCCCCGACGTCACAGAAGGCGAAAAAATTAGAGCATTCATCACGGGGCTGAAAAAAGAAACACGACAACATGTTGCGGCCGCAAATTGGAGCAACTACAACGACGTCGTTTCGGGAGCGGAACGTTTCGACGTAACCACGATCGGAACACGAGACTTCATGGATGAGCTAGACGACATGGAGGACGCTTGGCAAGACCAAAGAAGAACAAATCTAAGTGTTCTTTCTGCGGCAAGCCCGGGCATCGACTCATCGATTGTGACAAAATGAAAAATGCACGTTCAGCGCTTAGGGACCGCAGCAGTGGAGCAGATTTAATGCGAATATTGGAGGATCGTGGAGTGAATTTTTCAAACCACGAACGGACTCTACCAGGGAAAATCGCCAAGGGAAATAAAATCTCCGCGACACAAGACCCTGCTGGACCCGGACAACTCCAAAAAGGCCCTGTAAAAAGTAAGCACCCCTTCAAAATATCATACAAGGATGCTTTACTTGGAAAAAATTCCCTTGGGTCTACGGCCTTTGTGAAATCACGAGAGAGGCTCCAGAAGAAAAAGAATGTACCGGTACGACAACTACAGCAGCTGCGCATGGGGAACCAACAACGGAGCGTGGAAGATCGACCTTCCAACGACGACATCGTCTTCTCTCTGAAAAACCAGCCCACGTCGACCAACCGGTCCCCACGGAAGAAGTCGGTGGCGCTGAAGCAGCTCAAGAGGGAGCTGGAGGTCAACATGAAGCTGCGACGACCTCAAACCTCCTCTACAGATGCATCTGCAACATCTGAAACATCTACGGTATCTACCCCATCTATGAATTCTACTACGAGCTCGAGAACCACATCGTCGACGACAACAAAAAATCATGGCAATAGGGAACGGCAGGACCGGCCATCTGACACCCCAGGAGAAAACACAGAGCTATGGGAAATGCCCTATAATCCAATCAACGAGACGATCAACGGGTACAACGAGCAACGCCAACCACTTTTGCTCGAGGTGATCTGCAATGGACGACGCCTCCGAGCACTCGTGGACAGCGGAGCATCCCATTCAGTATGCGACAAAGCAACCCTCGAACACATCAATGAGAAGTACACGCCTTCAAACTTCACAGCTACGATGGTTGACAGAAGCAAATTACAAGTCTACGGTGAAGCAGCGTTACACCTGCAGATGGGTCCTCTTCGCTGGAAAGCGACCCTACCCGTCACCAACATCAAAGGGCTAAACTTGATTCTTGGGAGATATTTTCTGAAGAAGTTCAACCCCGAGATCAACTGGGTCACCCGCACGGCGAGTATTTACAATCAAGACAGAAGAGTTCCTCTTCCGAATTGGAGCAACACGGGAGATATTCCGGAGGAGACTCTCGCACGCTTCGAGAAGGACGTGAAGCGAACCATGGCAGGGTTTGTTGCACTGGTTACCAACGAGGACGAAGGAGAGAGAAAAACGCTCGAGCTTCCACCAGCAATCCAGAAACTTCTAGAAGAGTTCGAAGACGTTCTCCCTGACGACCTTCCAGACCAGTTGCCGCCATACCGAACCCACCAGCACGAGATCGTCGAAGAACCTGGTTCAAAACCGACCTTCCGAGCACCATATCGACTCAGCCCTACCGAGTTGGCCGACATGAAGAAGCAGATCGAGTACCTTCTGGACAAAGGACTCATTCGACCATCAACATCACCATACGGTGCACCAGTGCTTTTCACACCAAAACCTGACGGAAGCTTACGCATGTGCATCGACTACCGAGCCCTCAACAAGCAGACGATCAAGAACAAGTATCCGATTCCACGGATCGACGATCTACTTGACCAGCTTCGTGGAGCCACAGTATTCTCAAAACTCGATTTGAGATCGGGATATTGGCAGATCCGGATGGCGGATAACTCCATCCATAAGACAGCGTTTCGGACACGATACGGATCCTACGAGTACCTCGTCATGCCGTTCGGACTCACCAACGCACCCGCTACATTTCAGGCCGAAATGAACCATATTCTTAGGCCTCTACTCGACGAATGCGTGGTGGTGTACCAAGATGACATCCTGATCTACTCGAGGGACATGAAGCAGCACATCGAACACCTACGACGCGTCTTCGAGATACTTCGACGGAGAGAAGTTCTACGTCAAGCTATCCAAGAGCGAGTGTGCCTTGAAGAAAGTTCAGTTCCTTGGACACATGGTGAGCGCTCAAGGAGTCCATGTCGACCCAAAGAAGATCGAATCCGTACGTACGTGGAAGACACCGGAGAACGTGAAGGAACTTCAGCAATTCCTTGGCTTTGCGAACTACTATAATCGGTTCGTGCCACAGTATGCGAAGATTGCAACACCTCTCACCAATCTACTGAAGAAGAATACACCGTTCAAGTGGGAGGATGTGCACCAGCAAGCCATGGAGCAGTTGAAGACCGCACTCACGTCCGCACCCGTCCTGATCCTGCCAGATCCAGAAAAAGACTACGTCATCGAAGCTGACGCTAGCGACCAAGCAGTTGGAGCAGTCTTGATGCAAGACCAAGGGAAAGGACTACAACCAATCGCTTACCTCAGCAAGAAATTGCACGGGGCAGAACTCAACTACCCGATTCACGACAAAGAGGCCTTAGCGATCATCACGGCATTCAAGACATGGCGATGCTACCTCGAAGGGAGAAAGACCACGGTCTACACTGACCATTGCAGCCTAAAATACCTGAAAACGCAGCCGACCCTCTCCATACGACAAGTCAGGTGGATTGACTTCCTCGAGACGCACTTCGACTACGACATCGTGTACAAGCCGGGACACAAGAATAAGGCAGACGCACTGAGCCGGCCTGGAAACGTTGCCGCCATACAGATTGAGGGGATGATTCCGCTACTCAAGGGACTCTTCACGCACGGGTATACCATCGACCCCAAGATTCCCTTAGCAGAGAAAAAGAAATTGTTGCAGTGGGACCACGACGTCGCACTACGCAAAGGATCAACAAAGATATGGGTACCCAACTACCCGCCTCTTCGGCAGTTGCTTCTCGAAGAATTCCATGACGTGCTCTACGCTGGACACTTCGGGAGTAACAAGACTCTTGTCAGGATTGCGAAAGTCTACTACTGGCCTCACATGGCAAACGACGTGCAAAAGTTTGTCACTTCGTGCGACACGTGCCAGCGGATGAAAAGCAGTAAGCAGAAGAAAGCAGGACTTCTTCAGCCTTTACCCGTCCCGAAACAGCCTTGGCAAGTGGTCAGCTTGGATTTCATCACCGGTTTACCACCTACCAACGCGGGGCATGACGCCATCCTGGTCGTCATCGACAAATTCTCAAAGATGGGACACTTCATTCCGACACATACAACCGCACGCACAGAGGAAACGGCACAGCTATTCCTCAAACACATCATCTCACAGCACGGGATCCCAACAACCCTCATATCCGACAGGGACCCCAAGTTTACTAGCAAGTTCTGGAAAGAGCTCATGTCGCTCATGGGGACACGCCTAGTAATGTCATCTGCATATCATCCCCAGACCGATGGGCAGACAG